TAGCCAGAACTGATAGGTTCAGGGTCTGTGCTTTATTTAAAGGTGTTCTGTGTGAACCAAACGGGTGTATGTATGATTGAGACTAAGCCACGTTACTGTATCTTATTCACTTGATCATTTTATTTTCCCTGTGCGTTATTTAAATAAACCTTATTCCTTTATTTGTTAAAAATCCATCCCTGGTCTGTGTGACTTCTTATAGGGAATGGTTGGTGGCAGCTTAGTGAAACTGTGATATATCCCAGTAGGTCTGGTGTTGTCACAGCCCCTTTCAAATGTGCCAGGGATCCCCAGGAGACCATATAACCCCCATTGAGAATGGCTGCTTTAAAGTCCAAGCGCTTATTTTATTATAGTATGATGTGATAGTTTGCCATGACATGATACAAATGCCACACCTTGAGAAATGTCTGCTTTAAAGTCCAAGCGCTTATTTTATTATAGTATGATGTGATAGTATGCCATGACATAACACAAATGCCACATCTTCCAGTCTAAAGACCAACCAAAGCAGCTGACGATATTGAGAATATTTTATATTGGTCTCAATCAAGTGCTCTCATTCTCCTCCCCACCATCACAGCAGGTTCATGATCAGATGCTGCCTCTGACCAGAACTTAGAAAAGTTACTTTTGGACTACAGCTCTCAGAATCTCCAAGGAAGCATGACTAGTAACTATGCTGGCTGAGGGTTCTGAGAGCTATATTCAAAAGAAGTAACTTTTCCAAGTTCTTTCTTTGAGCTCAGAAACTTCCCAAGGAGGAAGGAAGCCCTCAGCAAAATGCCTGGCTTCCTCACACACTGGCTGGCATTCAGCTCCAGGCTGACTGGGCAGTAACAGCACCTGTTAGCTACAAGCCACAGTTTCCCACAGTGCACCTGATGTAGTGTTGTTTGAGAATCTGTCAGTTTGCAGAGGTACCTATACAGAGTAGGAAGCCACAATGTCAGAGGACCTTGTCTTTATTCTGTGTTCCTAAGGGCAGCAAATGGTGATGCCAACTTCAGTTGCAGGACACCACTTGGGTGGCTCTCCTGACAATGTCACCCACGTCAAGAGAGAGCAACTTGTGACCATATAGATGTTGTTGAACTACAACTCCCATCAGCTTTAAGCAGTGGTTGTTAGGGTTGCCAGATCAGCAGCACCCTGTTTCCTTAAATATCAGGATGAAAAATTGGGCTTTGAGTGCTGAATTCAAATCCTTGCCTTCTCCAGCTCTCTCAACAGCCCACATGTACAAACATCTTTGTGTTGAGCCAGTGATTCCTGCAACCAGCTAGGAACAGGTGGAGACTGGATATCAAGGATTTAAAGCTAAATAACACACACACATCGGGGAATGTGGTGGTGCTGTGGGCTAAACCGCAGAAGCCTGTGCTGCAGGGTCAGAAGACCAAGCAGTTGTAAGATCGAATCCACGTGATGGAGTGAGCGCCCGTCGCTTGTCCCAGCTCCCGCCAACCTAGCGGTTCGAAAGCATACAAATGCAAGTAGATAAATAGGGACCACCTTGGTTGGAAAGTAACAGCGTTCTGTGTCTAAGTCGCACTGGCCATGTGACCACGGAAGATTGTCTTCGGACAAAACGCTGGCTCTGTGGCTTGGAAATGGGGATGAGCACCGCCCCCTAGAGTTGAACACGACTGGACAAAAATTGTCAAGGGGAACCTTTACCTAACACACACACAAAAGCAAACTTTCTCCTGCATTTTAATGTTTGTATGTTTTAATCCAGCATTTCATGAATGTAAATATTTGTACTTTTTTGCTCAGAATTTTGCTTCTTCACATGGAAATCCAAGGAGGAGAGATTATCTAGACACACACGGTTAATTGAAAGGACTGATTTCCTTTTGAAAGAATGTGTGCATTTTAATGTTTGTATGTTTTAATCCAGCATTTCATGAATGTAAATATTTGTACTTTTTTGCTCAGAATTTACAGTGATTCCTGCAACCAGCTAGGAACAGGTGGAGATTGGATATCAAGGATTTAAAGCTAAATAACACACACAAAAGCAAACTTTCTCCTGTACCATTTGCTCTGAATTTTGCTTCTTCGCATGGAAATCCAAGGAGGATAAACAATTCCATGAGCTCTCAGCCAGTTCCCTCACATATGGCAACTGCATTATCTGTGCTGGCTGGTGTTGCAAGCTTACAAAATCTAAAAGGCCACAAGTTGCTAACCGATTCCATGTCATTGCCACTCCCTGGCTCAGGGTAAATCTCCCTCCCTAGATGGAACACTGATTTCATATCTAAGGGAAGGACATCCTTAGAAGAGAAATTCTGTTTATTGGAATATGAATGCGCTTGCATGAATCCTCATTTAGTAAATTTGATTACTTTTGTTTTGTAAATCAACCAGTTGGGAGCTATCAAAGCTTGGTGAGCATATCTGATGTTCCAGGTAGTTGCCTCTGAAAGAGTCATGGGTCTGGAAGGACAGTGTTCTAAGAGGAACCATTAGTGTATGGACTACAGACTTGTAGATTTTCAGAATTAGTAGACTGCAGTCCACAAATGTACAGGAATTCTCCCTGTCAGATACCTTAGGGTTTTAATCAAACAATCAAAATCCTGACAGGTGTTTTCATGTTCATATAACTAATGAACTCAGATTATGGCAGCCATTTTCTTCCCAGAGAGAAGACGGGGGAAATGCATAGGTAAGGCTAAACTCTGTGGGAACTACAAGCAAGTATGAATCTGGCAGTTTTTTGGGGGGAAGGCTTCCTGTACAAAATTGAATGCAATGGATAACCCAGGACTGTCCTTGGACTGCAACTCCCAGAACCCCCTGGTGGTGAAGGCTTCTGGGAATTGCAGTCCAAGAACAACTGGGTTACCCAAGGCTGGGAACCACTAGTCTAATGGACAGAGACTCCCATACCCATAATCCCTACAGAAAGTAGTCCTGCCCATCCATGCCTCCTCTCTTCTCCACAGCATGAAAATGGCAGATGGAGTTGGAATTCGTTAATTATTAGACCTTCAAAACATTGTCAGGACTTTGATTGCTTGGTGAAAGACGCCAGAAATCTGACTGGGGAAAGTATTGCAGACTTCTATTGGCTGTTATCCTTGAATTCTGAAAAACCCATGCTTTGTGTTAACCATTGTAAAAAGTGCATGTTAATATGTCGACATATTATGCTCTGAAAACAAATTAAAGAAGACTTACTCTTGAATTATCGGGATAAGTTGTGTACCAAGGTCATCGCAGTAAAACCATCTTTCAAAAAGGACGTTGGTGGTTTCTCCGATGTAGTATCTGACAAAATAAGTGTGTGTGAGAGAGTCTTATTAAATAATTCTACCATATAAAAGAGGAAGTTATTAGAATATAGTACAGTACTTTTAGAACATAGGTGTGTCTGGGGGTGTTGCAAAATGATTCGTGCAAGAGCTTGTACAACAAAAACCCAGACTGTTTTATTAAAAAAAATGCTTTGGCTGACAACAGTGATGATATTTTCTCTCTTTTGTTCAGGAACCAAAAAAAAAAAAAAAAGATACAGTACAGTGATTGACCGTTGTTTTGCTGGAATGTCTCAGAATTTCTTGATGCATCAAGACACCCTTTTTCATCCGAGTGATGATATTTTCTCTCTTTTGTTCAGGAACCAAAACCATTGTTTTGCTGGAATATCTCAGAATTTCTTGATGCATTAAGACACCCTTTTTCATCCAGAACAAGGAAACCTGAGAATATTTGTTACATCGTTGCTATCATCCACCTCTTCTCCATTTGAAATTCTACATGCACTCTGAACTTAGCTGCTGGGATTGGTAACTGCCCTTTAATATTACTTATTTCCCTAAATGCAAGATAAATTGAGATAAATGTTAGACTTTGAAATGAAACCAGATGCTTTTGTAATAAGTGCATATTAAATTGCACTCAATTAAGACATCAATCTCAGTAAGAACCAGACTAACACACGTGTGTTTGTATGATTGTAATGGTCAATCTTTATAAAAATGGCAGCTTCATAATTAGAAACTGGTAAAGCATTACCCTTCCAGAGTTGCTCCCCTTCAAAGCTCCTGTGTCTGCACAATCAGCTTGCAAATGAAATCAATGATTACCTCCACTTTTCACTGCAAAAGCTGACACCACATATAGTCTGGTCCTATGAACAGGTACATATGCAAAGTACATACTTACCTTCAAATCATTTGTGAGCTACACATATATGCATAAGCAATTTACATTCACATATTCTCATGGATATCACAAAAATTAATACAAGCCAATTTGAAGTGGCCAGAAGTGCTGGAGGGAAAAGTGGCCTCGTAGCCAAATTGGTGGTATAGAAATAAAAGGAATCAATCAATCAATCAATCAATCAATCAATCAATCAATCAATCAATCAATCAATCAATCAATCAATCAATCAATCAATCAATCCACCTCTATGCCCCCATGTTGGTGAGTGCAGACACAGGCTAGCTTCTTTGATGCAAACAGCACTTTCTGATGTGACACAGGTGGCCACAAGAGGTTGCTAGAGTGAAAAAAAAATCACATGGTGCTTTCCTCAGTATTGAATTGGCAGCCGCTGTTAAAACTAGAAGTTCCTATGCAGATATGTATCAGAACCTGCATACTGTTCTGTCTTAGAAAAGGGATCATTCCAGAGCAACAGAACCAGATTCACACATTTGCTAGGGATGTAAAAGCTTGCCTAATTTGAGTCATCCGAGCTATTAAATTCAATGGGAAGTATGCAGCTTCTTCAATTGAACTCAGCAGCTCAGGGTTTACATGCATTCACTGGTGGGAATGCCATTTCCTGCCCTACTTTACCTTCTATGCATTTGTCGCATTTATTTACAGTATTAATAAAACTATCAGCAGTAGAGGGTGTGCAATGTTGTTTCCTGCGTTGCTCCTTATATACTGGACCCAGAACAACGTTTATACCAAATTTACTAGAGGATTTACCGAATAAAATTATCTATCTGTTCTCTGATGTTAACAAGGCAGCAAGAGGTAGAGTGGCAAGACTCACAGTGGCTGCCCAGAAGCTGAGGAGAGATTATCTAGACACACACGGTTAATTGAAAGGACTGATTTCCTATTGAAAGAATGTGTGCATTTTAATATTTGTATGTTTTAATCCAGCATTTCATGAATGTAAATATTTGTACTTTTTAATTTGCTAGCATTGTGTTTGTTAAGCTGGCACTTTGCATGTGTATTATTGCTATCTGTATTTACCATATTTTTCCATGTATAAGACTATACTTTTGTCTAAAATTTTTAGACTAAAAATTGAGGGTCACCTTATACACAGAAGTAAGCTGAGGAGAGTACAAAAACAAGAGGAGGGGAAAGCAGGGATCAAATTGTTCCTGCACAGCTTTGATCCCTGCTTTCCCCTCTGGTTGCTAAGTCCCATGGGGCTTAACAAAAAAGGGGGTGGAATAATCAAAGCAATCCCATGGCTGTATAAGGGGGAAAGGGATCAATATGATCGTGCAGTTGTGGGATTGCTTTGATCGCTTTCCCCCTCCTTTTGCTAAGCCCCGCAGGGCTTAGCACAAAGGGAGAAAGCAGGGATTAAAGCGATCCTGCAGCGCTTTGATCCCTTTCCCCCTACACTTGCTAAGCCCCACTTAGATTTCTTAATTTTGAGTTAGAAAAGTGGGGGGGCATCTTATACACGGAAAAATATAGTATGTTTTTAATTGGTGGAGCTTGAATAACCAAAGTGATCAAATCAACAATAAAGCAGAAGTACACTAACTTGAAAATAAAACTATCAGTGTACTGTTTCCTACCATAACAATACCCAAAGTAGTGCAGAGTTAGAGAATCAGCTTTAGAGGCAGAAAACATTTTACCTCAGCCCATCGGTTTCTGTCGTCAATCTTTTCCGCTCTATAACCAATCCCACAGTATTAGCGTATCGCTGAGGAGAATGTGGTATCCTGGCTGGTAAGAGGAACATCTGTCCAGAAGATATGATGTCAAAAAGAAAACAACCTTGAAATAATAAAGTAAAGCAATAGCACTAGGCTTGGTTCTGTCTTCCCCTCTCCAGCTTTTTAAACTATCTCTTATCTTCAACATCTTAGTTCTTCTCAGCTGCATGTGTTCCTCAGCAAGTGTGATCTTGCTCATTAGTGCTAGAAACAATGCTAATGTTGTTTCTACTTGTTTCCCAGATTCTCACAACCACTATCTTTCTCCACCACAGAAAATCTGCTTAAGAAAGTGTGACAGCTCTCCAGAGTACGTTATTAAGGATTTCTTGGGGCAGGGGATGGAAGGGAGCGATTACACCTCCCCCAATAACAATCATGGAGGCTGATTCTGTGAGTGCAGCAGCATTGAAAATTGTGGCTTATATACACCTGATGGAGGGTGTGTTACGTATATGCTGTGTAACTAATTTAGTCTGTTTGCTGTACAAGATAAAACAGCTAAACAGGGAAACTACAGGTTCATATTTAAGAACTCTGCTATTTCTTCAGCAAGAAACAAACCTCCATCTATGTATAGTTTTCTTTCATCCAGCCACCTAACCATCTATCCATCTTCATACATGTATTAGCAGGAAAAAAGAAATATTACAGCACAATGCTTTGGCTTTCACCTTCTTTAGTTCTTCTGAAATGAAGTTTTTGTTTTGTTTTCAAGATGACAGTTGCATAACCCAGAGGATATATCAGTGGCTGTTTTATAGGTTCAGACCATGATTGCTCAACCCAGAAATTATCCCTCTTCTACATTTGGATTTGATGGTGTTTCTGTCCTAATCACTCTGATAAGTCTGATAGGCTGTAAAGTTCTGATTTAAAATGCCTAACCCCTGGTTGTTCAGTTTCTTTGTCAAAACTTGAGCATGCGCATAGGTTGGCTGTTATTTTGTGACCTGTGCACATGCTTCAAAAATCGTAAATCTGCAATCCTAGAAGACAGCACCTAACATTATATATATATTTGGCAGTGCTTACCTCTCCTTCTTTAATGTGAATATCCTTGTGTTTTCCATTTTCCACTATCTTCAGGCACATATCCCCCTCCAGCTGGTAAAACAACTACAACAGGAGAGGAAGAAAGAGAGAGAGGGGGGGAAGTCATTAAAATAGGTCTCCATATATGCCTCGTTGAAGTCCATGGCCTGTGTTCAGACATCTTGTGATTTCCAACACAGCCAGTTCTGTGAGAATGAAGGCCAGTGACGATATTCTTAGTTCAAATATTAACATGTTAGCTGCAGTATGAACCCATATCACTACTTAGAGTCAGCGATCTAAATCAAGTTAGCAATAATTAGTTGATGCTTGTGTAAATCCTATTAATTCAATGTATTTACTCTAGTTGGGACTACCAGTTGAATTCAGACCACTATGTTCCATGTAAAATCACAACAAACGTATTTTTAAATTCCAGTTGGTGGCTGGCATAGCACAGGGTGATGGACTAGCCATTTCACTTAGCAGTGGATGTTTTTTTTTTCCAGCAGTACTCTACAAAGACATTTTGTTGCCTGATGGAAAGAACAAAATGAGGTCATCGCCATGCTACTCCACAGCTGAAACTCAAGAGTATATCTACACTATATACTTGTAACAGTTTGAAACCACATTAACTAGCCAGGTTCCATCCAATGGAATCCTGGGATCTGTAGTTTAGTGAGGCATTTAGAGGTCTCTGCTATGGTTCAAGGAAATGCAGTAGAGCTCTATAGATGAAAAATCTAAATATGTGGTAGTTATGCGGTGCCATGTTGCTTTTGACTTATGGTGGCTCTATGAATGAATGAGTACCAAATGAATTTTGGGGATTTGAATATATTTTGAGCATTTCTGTGGGCACCAAGATGTGTGTCCTTCTTGAGGTACAGATTGGGTTGGGATCCAGTGCACATGGTAGCAATAATCTGTCTTCCCAGAAGTAATGAATAACAGGTAGAGTTCCTTTCCAAGCTTTGCTGACTAAGGATGATGGGAACAGGAGTTCAACAATATCTGAAGCACCAAGAATTACTAATAGAACTAGTACTAGGCTATTATTGTATTCTCTTATCTGTGAAGGAAGAAAAGTACAAAACATGTAAACTAAGAGGTATTGGGATGGAATAATTAGTGACCCACGATTCAGTGAAGTGTGCAGCTGTGTACATTGCACTCAGCTATGACTAATCAGTGTTTCTGTTGATTTATTAATAAGATGAAATTGTGTACATTTTAGCCACTCAGATTAGAGCAGTCAAATCCACAATATATGTACGTACATTTATTGCAATGAAAAGAAGAGTCACAAGAGCTGCACCTCATTCTGGCCCAACATTCACACAACAGTAGCGAAATGAGGAACTTCCCCATAGCTTCTAGCACAGTTCTCTACATCCTGGTGGGTCACCTCCTTGCTGGGCCCTTCCTACCAGAAAAGAGAAGCTGAAGTAGGCATGTGGTATGCGAGGAAAGAATAATGGACTGGAAGCTCCCAGTAGATTTGGTCAAAGAGCATATATGGAGAAGAGCACTGTCGTACAAGTGAAGAACCAGCATGCCTGAAGCTAAATAAATATGAAAAATAGGACTGGCCCTACACTGGGCAGAAGGAGAGCACCACTTTAGATGGGAGACGCTGACGGGGAGCAAGCAGCATCATGGAATAGGAAGACAATAAGCATGTCTACTTCTTCACTAAGCTAGGCTGCTATTTTCTGTTGCTGGTATTGAACAAAGCATGTTTCTAACTATACAATTGTAGCAGATTTATGCTACTTTAACTGTCATTACTTTGTCCTATGGAATCCTGGGATTTGTAGTTTGGTGAGGTACGTAGAACTATTCCAAACTAATTCCACTACCTATTCCAAGCTATTAAAACAGTTATCCCAAACTCCAAAGCCTGCATTTATCAAAATTCTAAGAGAAATATGCCAACAAATATGGAAAACAAAACCATTGCCCACTGAATGGAAATGTTCGTCATACATTCCAATTTCAAAAAAAAAAAGAGCACATGCTAAAGACTGCAGTAACTGTAGGACTATCATATTAATTTTCCAGTCAAGCAAAGTGATGCTCAAGATTTCGCAACAAAGACTTTTATAATATAATGATTTCAGTAAAGGCTTTGACTGCCTCATTTTTTAGAAAAAATTCACATGATCCAGGACTGAGCCTTATTATAGAAAAAACCTCCAGGGTACAATTTGAAGAGACCTGGTTAAAAATGTTGCTGTTATTTTGTGTTCCGGAGGAATTGGGCTATGGATTTGATTTTCAAATTTAAGCTATGAGTTGAACAAGCATGTTGGCTTCTGGTATGTACTGAGAATTTGAGAAGAAAGTCAGCTTGTGGGATAAAAGTCCCACCTGCTCTTTTACAGCCTTAAAAAAAACTAAATAAAGATTAGCCTGAAATAGCAAAGTGAGCCTTGTGGTTGTTGTGGGTTTTTCAGGCTCTTTGGCCGTGTTCTGAAGGTTGTTCTGCACCAGCAGAACTTCAACAAAAAAGAGGAAAGTTTGAAACTCAACAAAACTTGGCTCCCAGCTCTCAGAAATACAGGTTAACTAAACAGGCGGCCTTTCGCCGTGAGCGAGCAGCGGCCACCACCCCAGCGTCTAGAGGGGCTGAGAATCCCTTCCACACTGAAGACAGATATAATCTGTACCCCATCTAGCTCCCTGATTCTGCTGGGTTCGGGACGGCCTCTTTGCCTCGGCCTGCTGGACAAGGGTCTCTTATTCAAAATGGGAGAGGCCGTGATGCACCGCCTGCCTCCAGGCTGAACACTCGGATGTCAGGGTTTCCCATCTGTGGAGGTCCATTCCTAAGGCCTTCAGATCCCGCTTGCAGATCTCCTTGCATCGCAGTTGTGGTCTCCCTCTGGGGCGATTTCCCTCTCCACTGAAGATGCCCATGGCCACAGAGACTGGCGAAACGTCAGGAAGAACAACCTCCAGAATACGGCCAAAGAGCCCGAAAACCCCACAACAACCATTAGATCCTGGCCGTGAAAGCCTTCGCAAATACAAAGTGAGCCTTGTTTGGATAGTAATTGATCAGTAGAAGAGAACAAAATTTAAAACAGAGGGGAGTAACCTCTGTTTTAGATTTTGTTAGAATGAAAGACCCAGGTACTTTCATTAGAGGTGGAAGGAATAATCATTGAATTCTCGGTCTTGTCCATTTAAGCTGTCTTTCTAGAACAAAACACCTTGATGAGGAATTTTAAAACCTTGAGTTCATGAGATTTCTCACTTCTAGCTGAAATACGGACAAAGAGCTGATATTCCCCTGCGTGCACTTTAACCTCAACATAACCGTTGAAAAGGAATTGGCAAAAATTTAATTTACCCAGTTTGTGACTTGTGAGACTATTAAGAAAAATGCACATGTTATCTCTTTCATTTTGCTGTTATTGGGAGAGAATTAACTCGCTTTTTAAAAATCTTTTTTTCTGTGTGACTGAAGAAAAATTTCATAAAGAATACATATATTTGAAAAAATGAACACAAACACATCAGTTTAAACCACACATTTAAAAAAATACTATGTCATGTGATTAGGGAATGGGCATGCCACAACACACATGAAATTCTGCATGAAAAAGGAAATAGTCTAGCCTCTTGATATGGATATTAGGGTGAAAATGCAGTGACATTCTGAAAAGCTTGTTAAAGAAACAAGAAATAACAATTTTCACATTCTTACACTAAACCTGGGCTAACTTTTGCTGCTGATAAAGCTTTCATCAGAAAGATTTCATAAAAATATTGACCTATTTGCCATGAGATTCATGCCATATGGGCCTTAATTTCCTGTGTACATCTTAAATCCCTCTGAATCTTTCCACATTTGTTATAAACAGATGTCTATAATTCAAAATTTATGTTAATTGGACATTTAACTTTCTTTCATGGAACTGATTTTTAAATTCAAACAAAGGAAAAGCGATGACATCTACTGGATATATAGAAAACTGCAAACTAATCTTGCATTTGACATCTGAATTTTGGGGAATATTTTGGTTTATAGTTTTTTAAAAACAGCTTGTCTGAATAGTCAGGGTAACAAACTGTGCTAGCAATTCTCACTTAGCAAACATTTGGTGGGACATCAACTATTTCAAGAACATGTAACTATAATTATGAGTTTACAGTAAATAATAATGAATGCTACAACAACATGGATTATTTAGTAACCTAACAGTTACATCAAGCCAGTTCTTTCACGCAAATGCTCATACACACACTGGTTGTCCATTTTTGCATGAAAAGAAGATTTTCAAGATAAATTTATGTTTAAGTAAATAGAGGTTAGGAACAAAACCACATTAACTTGCTAAGTCTGTTTGCCCTTGACCAGCAATGTGGTCTTTGAAATAAAACTTCCAGGTTTCTTTTTCCAGGTAATGAAGGCCTATCACTCCCTAAAGACCCTGTCCTCTTGGGAAGCACCTCTGAGTGAACTTGAGAAACATTCCTCAAGCCAGTATCTCAGTCTGCTTCATACCATCCCTTCTCTCTCCTGACTGGAAAACATGAGGGGAGAATAAAGATTACTGAGGGCCAGACTTTAATTTGCAAATAAGCCATCATTAGAATTGGAAACATCTTAGTGTTCCGGAGTTGTAATTCAGGTAGAATCATCCTTGCAAATGAAGACTCTTCTTACCTCCCATCTTAGTGTTCCGGAGTTGTAATTCAGGCAGAATCATCCTTAATGATGAATCACAAAAGAAAGCTAACTTCAAAACTATGGGAGATGTGGAAAAACTACCGTTGTGATCATTAGATGTCCTCGTCATTTAAAAAATTCCCTGTTCTGATCTCAGGCCACGTGTGCTGCTTCTGGGCTTCAAGAACATTTATTGAGCTATCAACACAGTCTGCTTTCGCTTCAACCTTCAACTTTCCAGCCCAGAAAAGGGATAATGGCTCAAAGCTGGTTCCCAGCTGAGTTGTCTGCTCAACACCTTCTCTAAATGGTGGCTCAACCTCCTTCACTCAGCTATCTCCCCACTTCCAATCAGTGGGACAGCTGGCTATGCAAAACTGTGTATATGCCCTCTGCTTTACTGTTTTTGTTTTGTTTTGTGTTTTCTGGTCAAAGAAGCTAAAAGAAACCTAGGAACTGAGAAGCTTTATTTTAAAGAATTATTTGTAAGAATGATTCCAGTGCTCTTTTTGTGTGCATAAAGTCAGCACACCTAAAAGTTGCATATATAAAAGAGCCTCGTGGCGCAGTGGTTAAAACGCTGTACTGCAGCTAAAACTGTGCTCACGACCTGGGGTTCAAATCCCAGGTAGCCGGCTCAAGGTTGACTCAGCCTTCCATCCTTCCGAGGTCGGTAAAATGAGTACCCAGCTTGCTGGGGGGGGCAATGTGTAGCCTTTATAATTAAAATTGTAAACCGCCCGGAGAGTGCTTGTAGCGCTATGGGGCAGTATATAAGTCCAATAAATAAATAAATAAATAAATAATATTATATTATGCCTGGAACTCAATGCTAAAGCAATTCTATTGATGTCAACTCTTTTGACACAAAATAAAGTCAGCACACCTAAAAGTTGCATATATTATATTATGCCTGGTACTCAATGCTAAAGCAATTCTATTGATGACAACTCTTTTGACACAAAATAGGAATACGTTACATAATGAAACAGCCTCTCCAGCCCCAAAAGCTGGCTCTTCGATGAATATGTTAGTGTGTAAACTCTCACAGGACTCATTGTTAGTGCCACAAAAGTAATTAAACCTAAACTAGACAGACAGACAGACAGACAGACAGATAGACATATATATACAGTACATACACACACGATAGATAGATAGATAGATAGATATACACATATATACACACACATGTCTGTCTGTCTGTCTGTCTGTCTGTATGTATTGCTTCTCCTTTACTGTCTGTCTGTCTGTATGTATGTATGTATTGCTTCTCCTTTGGTAGAAGTGGAACAAAGTCTAAGTAAATGCTTGAACAATTTAGAGAACATCCCAGTATAAAACGCTGTCGCAGCAACTCGAAGCAATGGCCTTTTGCAGCTTCAGGCAGTTCCTAAAACTTGGGTACAGAATATTTGTGGCTGGAGGGCTCCATCTGGTGTTGGCTGGAGTGAGAGTGATAGACAATTGGATGCACATAATACAGATAAATATACAAACATTATTTTGTCACATGTACATTCAGGAAAATGTCTCCGACACTCCCTTCACTGGAACATCTCACAGACAGTGACAGGAAGGCTTAAACTAGGGTTGCACAGAATCCCCTGACTCCCTCTGTATCCCAAAAAAGAGCATATAGAACAGTGTACAGTGATTCTATAAATACCACAAAGATTTTTGTGGACTTTAAAGACTCAGACATTTTGTCAGAGTACAGAACATTCTATTTCAAAAGGAACTTGTTATTCATTAACTCATTGACTCATATCCTATTGACTAGCTAAGCTTGTGTAACTCGGTGCTATAGAAATGGTTGTTGTAATAGCCCCAACTATTCATGAAATACTATTCATGAAACGCCTTTGCATAACTTTACATTAGTTGGCGACATATAGGATTCTGGCCATGGTGTTACGCATTATTAATACACTGCATGATCCATTATACTATATAAGAGAAAAGCAAAGAAATGTTACTTTATTTGATAGAGTGGAAAAGTCTTTGATAGAGTGGAAAAGACTTAAATGCCTTTAAAAATAACATTTGAAAGTAAGTAGAAAATGTTACTCATTACTCCTAAACAGTTATTTTGTAATTTCTTGAAACATTATTTTTATTCCAAAGTAACTTTGGTATGGAACTATACTATTTGCAATTAATTAATTCCAAATTTTCCGTGATCTAGGATTTTGGGGGCTGCAGCATACTTCATCAGATACATGTTGATATGGGATGAAGGGAGAGATAATTAAATTGTCATCCTAAGTCAGTTATAACCAACCTGATGGGCATGTGATGTGTAATACTCTAATAACCTATCCTCAACAATCTTCATTGGTTATGCTGGTTGGGGTTCATGATAGTCATACACACTGGAGTGTGTCAAGTTGTTCAGGACTAGTAGTAGGCATCCTTCAGTCTCGAGAGACTATGGTTCAGGACTACCACGAGTATAACAAACTAAACAAAGATACCATCTTAGCAAAAACCTTCTGATTGTAACATTCTAAGGCAGTGGTTCTTAACCTTTGTTACTCGGATGCTTTTGAACTGCAGCTCCCAGAAACCCCAGTCAGGACAGCTGGTGGTGAAGGCTTCTGGGAGTTGCAGTCCAAAACTCCTGAGTAACCCAAGGTTAAGAACCAGTGGTCTAAGGCATGGTATTATTCATTTGAATAATACATTTATATGTGAAACAAATGCACAGCAATAAATGAAAGTATATTCTCAATTTACCTCTTCTCCTTCTTCAATATGATAATCCTTCCTTTGGTTGGGTCCACCAACAAACATGACATTCAGCTGATGGCGGTGCCTGCAGAACATTTTTTTTTAAAGCCAAATCTTTCAACTGTTTGTTTGTTTGTTTGTTTAAAAATTATAATTCCTTTTCATTGTACACAGAGTAGAATAAAACCTTTTCAAAGTTTGCTTTTAAACATACTTAAACAGTGCAGCAAATAAATACACAAAGAAAGAAATAAAGCCACGATCAATGACATGAAAACAAAAATAAAGATTAATTAAGGCTTAAAGGGATAAAAGATTTAAAACTCTCTGAACCACTAAGTGAAGAGATTCATGAGCCAGGGGAGAGTAGATAGGGATGATTTTTTTAAAAAAAAGATTTAAAACTCTCTGAACCACTAAGAGATTTGTGAGCCAGGGGAGACTAGATAGGGATGAGTTTTTTTTAATTTTATTTCTTGGACTAAAAATCCCATAATATTCAATTCTGGGAGTTCTATCTGACAGACACCTTACACCTGATTGTGGCTTACCTAGGATAAAGACCTCAACTAGAGGGTTTTCAGATTTAGCTAGGCCTGGCTCTACCTAGCTTCCTGATTAGAACAAAAGCTCCCAGTTAGCATTGGGACAGGAACAGGAAGGCAGAGTCTAGGCTCTTGGCTGTTAGCATTAGGTTGAAACTAGGGTTGTGCACAGAACCTTCTGACTCACTCTGTGTCCAAATTAGGAGACAGAGAATAGGCCCGACCTACACTCTAACCATACCCTTGTCTGAGTCCCTGTCAGTATTCATGTATTTCACGTTCTTCACAAAGACTCCATTCCTGTGAATGGGCAAATGGAAATGGCAAGGCCAGGTCACAGACTGAATGATGCAGGCAGGAGAGAAGGGTGTCAGCAGCTGTCTGCAGAGTTGAGTGCTTCATTTTAGTTTAGTTTTATTTATTTCCATTTTTCCCCCAATTGTCAGGAGAAAGCCCCAGTTGACTTCCTAAGGCAGCTAAGGGAATGAATTGAGTGTAGAAATTTAAAAGGGCAATGTTCATGGTTGTCTTTGATTCCTTCTTAAATGGACAATCTGGAAGGGAGTCTGCCCTTCTCTACAGTTGCTGACTTTTCTCTCTCCCCCACCCCACACTTCCTCTTTCCTTGATATGAAAATACTGATCGTGTGGTTACAGTGCAGACTTGGATGATTAAACCAACAACTTTGCAATAGGTCAGGCAAGAAAGATTCATTTCTAAGATAAAGAACATCTATTTCTTCTCCTTTGCCACTAGCTCAGCATCTTCCTGAGATTTTCTTTCTCATTCTACACTTGTAATCACAACCCATAAACCCATAAATTTAACATAAGAGACTCATGGATGAGCTGCCAATTAATGTCTCTGGGCTGTTTATGCCATTGTGTGGTCATCCCAGAAATGTACAAATTCCCCAGTTTGGTCCATTATTAAAGGTTTATCTGAAGACAGTGTACATCCCTTAGTGAAAAACAAGCGGAGAGGGTTTGTAGTCCATGTTTTTTTAATCTTTAGCCAATTCAGTCAAGAGCCCCTCACCCCCCCCATCTCTGTCTCTCCACCTCAGGGTCATAACTTTCTTCACAGTTGAGGTATTCACCAACCATTCTCAACTATCCTAGAAGAGTTGATAACAAAGGAATCATTGGCAGGTAACCATAGCAATATCCTAAATTGAGGTGGTGAAGGGTGCTCCACACCACAGCCTGTGGTTCTTCCAGGAAAGATAGTTCCAAAGCACTATCTCCCTCCCCATCAGCTTTCATTCAATGCTCACCTCTTTATGATGCCCGAAAAAGTCAAACATACCTTCTAATGTTATAGCACCTGATTCTTGAAAACCTGGAGGTTATTTTTAAGGCATGAGATTCAAAGACAATTCATAGACTGAAAAAAAGATCTTCAACTTTGTGAGACTTGTCTCATCTTGCATTTCGTAATACAAAAAGGTTGCATACATTTTTATTGCACTCTGGAATAAACTTCTATAGGCTGTTTGTTTTAAGATAATAGGATTACCATGTGTCCACAGACAATTGTGTGTTTTCATCTACTAGGCAGCTTTTAGGCTCAGTGGTTTTAATCCTGTAATATATGTCCATAGCTGGACACTGAGAACCTTCATATATAACTCTATTTCATTTGCATACTTGAGAATGAAGAATTCAGGTTTGATAGAAAAAGGTGGGGTAGAGAAGAAGAAGAAAATGCCATTAACTTACATAAGCTTATTGCACACTGGAGGCAAAAAAGCACCTCGGTTTTCTTCCACCCATTTCTTTACATTCACAAGCTTCTCCTCCATGACTCTTGATAGCAAAGTATATCAGAAGGGGGGGAGGAGGAGGTAATAAATTTGCAACAATCAATATATTGTGCAAACCTACTGAGACAACCAATATATACGACGGTAAGTTCCACCCTCCATATACTGCAAGCGATTGGTTTATAGCAATGCACTCTTCTCAGTAAACTGCCAAATAACTTTGCTGCCTTCGATCTTCCAAAGGTTGCTTAGTTCACATAGGGGCATTTCAGTAGTTTAGACAATGATCAACTTCTGAAAGGAAGGGGAATAATCATGGCAGAGACGGCTCCTTAACAGAAGAATGCACAGCTCTGGGTAAAGGACTGTGTCAACTCAGGCAGTTGTAGCATTTTTCTGGACCCTCATGATTCCTTCTAATTCTAT